TATCTTTATTCTCTTTTATTTATATATATATATATATATATATATATTTCTATTCTGTTCGCAGTCGAAATACAAAAGTCTGCTAGTGTCCGAGCAGACCACGGTCGACGAATTGATCCAGATGTTATTGAGTTGCTACAGTTCTAAAGAACGCGTCGAGCAATTCTCCCTTTACGAGGTCTGCGAAGGTGAGGAGTATCAAAGGAAGTTGCATCCTGACGATTCACCCCTTAAAGTCACGCAACGATGGACAAGCGCCGATCGTCATCTTCGCATAAGACGCAATCCAGACTACAATCCTCATAGGAGAAAAGTAAGTGAATTATCTTCGTCTTACGATTCTGTTAATCCACAATTGTTCAATAAATTTTCTAAATGTACTCGTAAAATAAAAAATTAAAACCGGTCAAAACACGATTTCTATGCAATCGAACGTATATATATATATGTATATATTATGCGCATTCTCACGCTTCGACACAAAAGAATTCCACATCTTGGATGTATTCCAAGATGGCCGAATGTAATTACGAGTACAGGCGCATCTCAAAGCAGTGCGTCAACTATCGGCATTTATTCATAAGAATATAATAGAAAGTCAAATTTGTTACGCAATCGTGTTGTTTGCAGAGCATGTGGGCGTCAGACTCGAGCATCAGCATGGCGATGTCAAGATTGAACCTACACGGCACCCATCAAACTCATTACAACCAAGGGAATGACAACAACAATCATTTGGCGTTGTATCAGCACAAAGATACAAGTTCGATCAATAATAACAATATCCATAAGATCGATCAGCATCTATCTTTAGGCTCTTTGAATCAGCAAGCAAGAATCGTGGTGCCCCACGCGACGCAACTTCCGCAGTTGCAAATCCCACGGTTGCAACAATTGCCTCAAAGTGTCCCATCAACGCCAATCTCGTCGAAACATATTACGACGAGCTCGTATGCGGACTATGAAAATTATTTGTTCATATAAATATTTTAATTCACAATTTTATGTATATTTGAATTATGAAGATTATATAAGACGCGAAATGGATCGGAGTTGCAGCTGTTCGAAATACGCTGACAGTTTGTTGCAGCTTTTAAATCGTATTGAACAGTATTTGAGATTTGATTGAACGGTGAAAGAGCTTTGTTATAAGAAGAGTTTGGAATGATTTTTTGAAGCGAAGATTTATTAAAGATTTCTTCTTTGCAAAGAAGCATATTTAAGATTGCACGAGTTCTTTAGATTTGAGATTATTTATCAATGGTAGTTCGATATGATGGTAGAGGGAACACGGTTCGTGTCCCGGCTTTTCGCGTCGGTAAAACGGAACAAAGAGAATTTACAATTATAGTCAATAGCGAGAAACAATTGTACCAAAGGTAGACGTACGAAATATTAGATAAATAGTATATTCATCCTTATATTGTGTAAATGTTTTATTGCGTTAGAAAGATATGCTAAAAATTGATTAAGAGAAAAAAAATATAACATATAAGTCTTTAGAGACTTATTATCTAAGAAAGCAATCGAATTTGAATTTTACCATGAAGAATTGTATGAGAATATTTTACAGGAAATTTGTATAAAATTTATACAATTATGGTATAAAATAGAGAGTTTAACATCTCATATTTATATCTCGAAAATTATATTTTATCCAAGAACGTTGCAGAATGCGACTTTTATTATTTATTTATAACAATCGTGTAGTGTCTAAGAGAACGAGCCTGAAATTTTAAATTATTTTTAATAAAAATCCTGTGCTGTAAATTTCGTCGTGCAATACGATCGAACAGGATTCGAATATATTCGTGTAAATATATCCAATAAACGACGTGTTACAACAATTTTAATAATTAACACTAGCCAGTCGCAAATGTAAATGTTGATATAATTCTATATTTTAATTACGTATACGTCGTTCCTGTGCGAAATTATCGTATTCGTCGAGTTGGCATTTAAAGACATATTATTGAGGCGTTATTTTTTTTTTTTTTTGTTTTTTTATAATTCATTGTAAATAGAAAAGGTCTCTTTTACCTTATTACTTTTCGTCAATGTTGCACCGATTGCCAAAGAATCGTCATGAAATAAAAAAATAAAAACAATACGTTTAATCGTACGACAAAACGAATGGAAGTTATCTTTTTTGTCACTTGCACGTATCGCAAATATGAAATTAAAAATTATCACGAGTCGTATAGAAATTGTGCAAGTAGGACTTAATAGCGTAACTTGTGTAATGAGTACAATGAAATTTGTATTATTTTGAATAACAAATAGAATGTAAATATACATTTTGTATCGTCGTTTATAATTCACCTAAGAAAATATCGTTTTACGTGTCTAAATTTTGATCGATATTTTAATTCACCTACAATCTCCATGTTTCCTTATGATCTTATAAAACGATATTATAATAATAATAATAATAATAATAATAAATATATAGAATGAGAATCTATCCCCAAAATATGAGAATAGTATGAATATATTTGAAGTAATTTCAAACCTTTGCAAAAACTAAGGATTTTGTTAACAAATTATTAAGAAAAAACCAATCATGAAGCATAAACTAATATGATGATAGAATATGAACAAATCCAAGTAAATGTGTCAAAGAAAATAGTTGAATATATAATAAGTAATTTAAAATTTCGTCATTCAAAATGAATAATGTCAAATTATAGTGTAAAACAACGAATAAACGATAAGTACCTATTGAAAGAAAAGAGAAAAAAGAGAAAACGATAAAAGAAAATAGAAAGAAAAAAAATTGACAAATAAAAGATGGAAAAGGAATTGATATTTGAAGAGGAAAGAGAAGAATGACAAAAAAAGAGGAGAAGACTGATTAAATTTTTGAATCATCCATGTATTAACGAAGAATGACAAGATAAGAAAGATCAATAAGTAAAATTTCAATCTAAATATTTCACTTATCTGATCTTGTTTAAAAAACGAAATGAAACTACGTTGCATCGTGTGATGATAAAAATTTTATTTACAAATGCGACAAATGTAGGAATTTTGGTTACCAGTGACGTATCGGAGAGAAACGAACGTGCAACGGGTTGATCGATTATCGATCGCTATATATTTTCAGGATAATCCTTAACAGTAACTCCTTTGCGTTTTCCCTTCTCAAATCTCAATCATCTTCCTCGATAATCTTGAACACGCATTCTCTTCTCCCGTGTCGTTCTCTCCGTGAGATCACTGATAGGAGGAGAGAATCACTGAGATGTAACAATAATAAACTTTACATTAAATACGATTAGAATCTAGCTATTTTTTTTTCTTTTTTTCTTTTCAGGACTATGCGGAGTGTTACAATAATAGAAATATTCATTTTCCGAGGAGAAAGGATTCTTCTTGCGCGATACTTTCTGGAAAAATTTGGACAAGGGAGCCGTGTCGAAGGGAATTGGAGGAGTGTTAGGGACAAATAGGGAATGGGGAATATACCTTTTTTTTTTCTTTTTCGTTTGAAGTTTCAAAGGATAACATCACAGCATTGACATATTAACATCGAAACGATCAAAGCATCGCGCCACTTCGAGATTTCGTCGAAGATGAAATTAACCATCGATCCCCGATTCGCTGTTTCCCAAAATAATAATTTCGAAGCTCCCTCGCGTCCCGGTCAGAACTGGACGGAGAATTTGAATCGTCGAAGAATTCTCGAAGGGCGCGCTGCCACGGCCGTAGCACTTTTTCATTTTTTGCTATAGAACAATTTACAACATCTCGATAATTAATCGCCTCAATTCCATCTCCGAACAATCTCGCATTTTCGCGCACGCTGAACCGTAATCTTCTCTTTTCTTCGCATCTTTGCATCACCCGTCTTTTATTCTTTCTCTCAAAAATTTCGTTCACACAAACGCATACAGGCATATACACACTCTTTCTCCACTTTCTCATCTCATTCGTCACACTTACGATTAGACGAATCGTTCGATTCGTTTGTAAACAGCGAAGCAAAATCAATTTATCTTTCTGAATAATAATACACCCTCCTCTTTTTACTCGCACGCTGATTCCTCCGCGACAACAACGAAATAAAATTCTCCTCTCATCTCTCTCTCTCTTTCTCTCTCTTTCGACTTTCTTACATCTCTTTCCTTTCTTCGTTCGCTTGTCCGCAATCGAAATCAATCGCGCCAGGGAATAATAGACAATATACACAGGGAAAAACCTTTGATCCAACGAACCAGCCGCAAAAGAAAATAAAGTGACTGAGGGCGTGGGTGCGTTACGTTTCCCATTTTTCTTTTTTTTTTCCTTTTTGGGGATACATGTACACGCCACGTGGGATAGACACGCGTGAAAGCGTCGAAATTGAACACGTTAGAAATTGATGTACTTGCACAACAGGACAATCGTCGTCCTCGGTGTGACGCCGATTTGATTCGAATCGACGATCGTATTACACATACGAGACGGTATGAGAAAAAGTAGCTTTTGAAATTGCCATTTGATCGTATCGACGCCATTTCTTATTTTTATTCATCAAGTGTTAGTTGTAAAAAAAAGAAAGAAAAAAATTATAAAAAGAAATTCTCGAAATTGATCGACGAAAGTTTAGCTGCATTTCTTTTTTTTTTCTTTTTCATTTTTTTAACAATATTTAGATCACATGCAATTCCTACTTGTCTCTATAACAAATCGTCAGCTAATTCTAAAACGTTCTAAAACGCGTGATCGACGGAAAACACCAAATCTCTTACGTTTCTTTTCTTTTTTTACTAACTATGTTTTTTTTTTTTTTAGGTTATATCTACTGGAATAAATCAAATATGGAAAGCAGTAGCAGCAGCAGCAGCTAGAAGAAGAAGCCTCGCGTCGATCTTTTTCTTTTTTCGCATTCTATTCACGCGGAAACGTGTTTCTCAAATTATATTCATAATCGGAGAAGAAAATCACGATCATCGAGTCGAACCGACAATGGCGTCCATCGCGATCCTTAGCATCACAACTTCTTCTCTCTTACTCCGTTCTCGTATTTTCTCACTGTACACACGGATATACTTTCGAAATCACGCAACCAACAATATTTCATTGCGAAAGCCTTAAGGCTCGTTTACAAGGACAGGCGTTTCGCGATATCTCTAAAAGCACGGTCTCGAGACACGGTCCGCATCCACGAAGAGGAAGATCTTTTACTTAAAAAAAAAATCTTTTGAAAAAAAGAGGATAAATTTTAAGAGGAAAATATGGATCGTAAAGCACTGATCTTTCTTCGTTGATGCTTCGCGATTCTCGTGGTTTTTTATTCTTCTATTATTTCTTCTTCTTCTTCTTCTTCTTCTTCGTCTTCGTCTTCTTCTTGGACCTTCCAACCATTCGTAATTGGGGGGGTTGCATTCTTCGAGGAAGGCGTCGATCGATCGCACGAAAATCGTTCGCCGCGACGCCGGCAAAAAGCAGCCTGAATTTTTTATTTTTTTTATTTTTTTTTTATTTTTATTTTTTTCAACAACACGTTCACGTGCACACGGTGCAAGCCAACGCAACAACACACTTCTAATTAATTTTTAAAGATCAATTCGCGCCCTATTTTTTTTTTTTTTTTTTTCTTTATACATCGAACGAATTGTACTTGCGCCCTTTCGACCCTCACTACCCTTGAAGAAAGGCTCGCCCTCGCTTCCAGTCTTCCCTCTCTCGTCTTTCCGTTTCTTCGTTAAACAGCTTAAACATCGATAATTAAACACTCGTAATAATATTCTCGTTGAGTCTTTCAAGAGATATAATTCGATTGTGTTCCCGATTGGACTTTCAACGTTCCTGCGTGTCATCGCGTATTATTTTCCAGTGAATTTCCTTTTTTTTGTTTTTTCTTCTTTTCTTTACTTTAGAATTTTTCTTTTTTTCGTCTATTTTTTTTTTTTTTTTAATATTTTTTTTTTCTTTTAAGTTTTCTTTCAAGAGAAGATATATATATTTTTTTTTCTCTTTGTTTCGTTGCTAGAACAGAAGTAATGTCGATTTTATACGCATCGAACGAGTTTCTCGCGTGCGAGGTTTTTCTTTCTTTCTTTTTTTTTTTTTTTTTTTTTTTTTTTTTTTTTTTAATCCTAGATCGCAGAAACACTACAGAGATTTTTTTTTTCATTTTACGTAAATCCGAATTGCTGTCTGATCGAAAGCTATAAAGTTACGATTCATATTATAATTTATTTAATTTTTTTTTCCTCTCTCTCTCATTTTTGCCTTTTAATTTAACGCGCTAATGGACGTGTTGCAGATACGCTAGTATTCCAACGATATTATCGAAAAGAAAGATCGGACTGGAAGCCGCTAATATTCCTAAAAACCTTAACCGAAAAAATCATTACGAACCGACGGATACTCGCATCAGTAACTACTAGGGGATCATTGTTTTGTCAGACAAGAAATATCATCGTATGATTCGTGGATGTGTGGATTGTTTATATATATATATATGACTCGTGTAAGACGTCGTATTTCGTATTTTCAGATCTGCGTGACGTGGGTTTTTAATAATCCGTTTGTCTATCGAGACTCTTAGAAAATATCATAAAAAATTTCCATTTCGCTATAGGCGTCAACTGGACACCGTTACACATCCTCATATCGATTTAATTTACGTCGGATGACGTCTAGAAAAAATACAGTATACAATAGCTATGATTTAAAAATCGATTGGCCTAAGCGTCGCAACGCTATTCGTACTTATAATCGCAGGAACAGATAATTTTGTTAAAATAATCGAGCAGACGTGCGTTAATAACGTGTTTTTGATACGAACAGCTTCGATTCGACACGAGAAAACATAGTTCGAAAGAAACTCCAGCCACTATCCGGCATTCGTTTGCAAATCACTTTCGAACACGGTCTCGAGTAAACGAAAATGCACGCGCTCGTTTTGTACTTCGAATATAGACTCTTTTATGCCGAAGTAGAAGCACGAGTATCCTCGAGAATAAACATCACCAGTGGTTTGCAAATATATATATATATATATTTCATCTAGTATTTATAAACGCTGGCTACAAAAACCATTTTACTAGTCAGCGATTAATAAATTCGAGCAACCAATAATACTCGAATAAAATCGTTCCTCGCGAAACTCGAAAACGTGGAAAATTCGTTCCATTATTCGATATCGATTCTTCGGCTTCTCTTCTCGCTTTATAAAAGATCTTCGATAAGCAAAATTAGAGCAAAAGCACCGATTATCTCTGAAATAAAATTCCTTCAACAACGTTATCAAACGAAAAATAAGAAATCGAAGCACATCCTTAAAATGGTGTCAGAATTTATCATCAAATTTTCACGAAGATATGAAAATACTTGTTTGATCTCATTTAGTGATGCCATTCAAATTTAATGAACGATATCGCGAAGATATCTCTGTGATCTTCAACTGTCGATACGATAATTCAACGGCGAACGAACGATATGTTTGACAAGAATCACTTTTCGAATGAAACGACGCTATCAGATAGATGAAAGGAAGCGGAAGATGTAATGGAATCGTGATCTCCACGCTCGAGTTTCGAGGAAACCTTTCGCTTAACGAGCAATGTAATGCGAAAATTTCGTTACCGATCGTTTTCTTCCCTCTTCTGATTCTCTTCTCAAAGAAAAAAGAAACGTGCCAGCGATCGGTCGAGATACGAGTGAAACGGAAACGGTGTGAAAACGATCGTTGTGATAAATTTGGCTAAAATTTCACGCAGCAATGGTCACACAAATTTCGTGTGTTGAAAATATTGGAACGTAATCGTTTCTAGGAAAGAAACGCTTCGTATTCTCTAGTTCTATAATAATACATAAGTTTGTAGCTAAAATTTTCTAAATTATTTTTTAGAAAAATTCATTACGTTACGTTTCGTGTTTTATTTACTTTTTTTTTAATTTTTATTTTTTTTATCTTTTTTACTTTTGACGTTTAATTATATTGGCCGTGCGCAAGGCTATTTTTGCAAAGAGAACGGCGTGCTCGAGAACTCGTTCGTTCTACTTAAGAAACAACGTTGATGCGTGCCTCTAAAAAAAATCCAATATACACGAACGATCGGAACACGATCGGTGTTGTCACGATTGCACTCGAGTAAAAATCGGGCCTTCTTGCGCGATTAAGGTAACGTTATATCGATGAGAAAATTTACAAATTGATCAGAGTTGTCGAAATTAATCGAACTCTAATTGAATAGGAGGAAATTTCAACGGGAAAATTTTATAAATTTCGAGTCATTTCAACATCGACGTAAAATTATAAAATTTTTTAAAAAGATCGCAACCTATAACTCGTAACTTGTCAATTCACTAATATTATCCTTTTGCACGAGGGCGCTAGTGCAATTTGATTGTGTTTCTATGTGTACACGCGTGTATGAGTATGTGTATGAAGTGTATATATATATATATATATATATATGTGTGTGTGTGTGTATCGAATCAATTATATCATAAATATTTTTCGTATTTTTAGTTGCAGCAAGTTCGTAGTGCGTAGTCAAAAGCGTCCACGCTTGATCACGAGGAGCGGAAGTGAATCTTAGATCCGTAAAAACAATGATGAAATCCGACAAATATTTTTTTCAACCATCAGTTGACGACACTGTCACATTCACGAAAAGATCGGAAACGGAAAGGACTCATCTTTTTTTAAAGGCTTCTTACAATATTTACACGATATCTATTGATTCTATGGTAATATAGTATCATTTTTCTCGCTTCACTTTTTCACTTCTTTCACTTCTTTCACTCTAATTTCTTTCATTTTCTCTTTCATTCTTTTTTTTTCTTCTTTTTTTTCATTCTTTCTTTCACTCGTTAATCTCGATCGGAATTTTTGTCAAACGACAAATGTGGAAGTGTTCATACTGCGTACATACGTATACAATATATATATATATATATATAATTTTTTTTTTATATATATATCATTATTTTTATATATGTATACTATATACACAAAATGTGTTTCCGTGTATCGTATGTCCTATATGTATGTGTACGTCTGTATGTGTATGTGTAACGTGTGCATACCTGTATTCGTTTCACCAAATAGACTCTAATAAAACGTATAAACACGTCAACCTAGCGCGGCGATCATCAACGCGCCATCGAAAATCGAAAACTTTCAATCGTGTGTACGATAATTGATTATCTGATTCCCAACCCATCGCCACGCATCTTTATTCGATTCGTTTTATATTTTCTTTTCTTTTTCTTTTTCTTTTTTTTTTCTCTCTTTGTTTCTCTCATCACGCGAAATCGTGAAATTTTTTTCGAATCTCGCGACAAACGCGCCACGAAATTTCTATATAATAAATCTCTCTATATATATATATATATAATAATAAGAATTTAATCATGCGATCGATCCTAAGGTAATCGGCTAGAATGATTCTCGATCTTTATATTCTTTTTATCCTCTCTCTCACACCATTTCTCCCTAAATCGAAGCAACTATCGCTTTGTTTCCGTCGGCCGAATCGAAATAATTCTACGCGAAAAATTCCTTGTTTCTCTTTTCCGATTTTCTTCTCTCTTTTCCGATCTCGTTAATCGTCCAAATCGTCTATTTATCGTCTATTATCTAATTTCGAGCGAACATCTCGTGGCGTTTCTTTTTTTTTTTTTTTTTTTTTTTTAACAAAGACCCGATGCCGATTCACGAGCATTTCTCCTATAAATCATCGATCTTAAAAAATCTTATGATTCTCGTGGGGGTGGGTATAGGGGCCCAGGAGGAGTCAGCGCAAAAAATTAAGGCCCCAGGGCTCTTTTTTCCTCTCATTCTTTTTTTTTTTTTTTTCCCTCACACTCGTATGTAATATAATCTTAATACCTCTCTTATCACTCTCTCTGATTCTGTATATAATTTTCTTTGGTTTGTTCTCTGTGTACATACTCATCTCGTTGAGCTGGCTCCGCGAATGGGGGATTTATCCTGTGCGTACCTTCATCGACAAGGACATTCGATTATCAACCCGCCCATCGTTTTACGGAATTCCTGTTGGAAAAAATTTTCTCGTGAAAGTTTTCGTTGGCCACCATCCACCATCACCATTCTCTCTCTCTCTCTCTCTTTCTCTCTCTTTCACACAACAACTCAACTCACAAAACTCTGCATAAACTGATCTAAAGAAAATTCTGTAAAACGAGGGGGAACGGAATAAAGCCATTTTACTCGACAATGATCTCTTTCTAGAACAGGATGTGTCTACGATGTGTCTACGAGTATATAATATAATACAGAAACGATATAATTACGAAATCAATCAAGGTTTCTTTTCTTTTAATCGAGATTAAACCATTAAGAAAATAGAATCTACATATGTGTGTGTATACATGTTTGTATGCGTGTGTGTGCGTGTGTCTGCCACTATAGACACGTTACTTTGTTACGATTTGATACGNNAAAAAAAAAAAAAAAAAAAAAAGAAAAAAAAAAGAAATCACGCTAATTCGTTAATTATCGGTTTCAGAGAAAGCTCCGTGTATAAATCGACAAATCGCAACAGTGGAAAAAAAGATAGATCTGGTAGAAAACAAGTGGGGCAAGCGTGCACGCGTATCGCTAATTGTCTCAACAATCCAACAAAATAGGAACGAAAGCAAGAACAATGGAAACTTGAACGAACTTCTTCTACCAACTTTCTCCACTACGATACGATAAGAAAGTAAAAATAAGATACGATATCTCTACGGTAGCGTACACGCTTAATCTCGGTTAACGAAGGTGGCGGTGTATCTATCTATTGTACGTACATAATAAGAACTACTCTCGAGATCCGATATTATCCGAGAGAAACGTAAAGAACGTAAATAACAAAATTGATTATAAAGAAGAAATATTCTGCGTAATAAAGTACATACGTGCAACAAACGCACGCTGAATACAAATCGTGAACGAAAGGGCGATATAATATCTACGATCAAATCGTGGGATTTAAATTACGAACAACAAGGAAGGGTTTACTAACTACCATTGTAAATAGCGATTCGAACGAAATGAACGATCTGAACGGGTAGCAGACAGGAAAGAAACCCCACTAACAGA